TTCCCAAACTATCATAGAACTTAGCTTCTGAGGTTAATAATTAGGAAGGTAGAAAACCAAGGTGGTCAATTTAAAATAGCTCATTGTGAGCTCTAGCAAAATGTCATAAATCCCCAGATTTCCAGGATTGAGTTGTGACAAATAGTTTGTTGTTTTAACTGTGGTTTGAATTACATAAGTAATAAACAACCAGTATATGCATCAAAGAATGAAGATTAAAGTCATACTTTTGATGTAAATTGGTCACAACAGGATATGACTTTGTCAATGGGCTTATCCATAGAATGTGGTAACACATGACACATTCTATGTGTCACAGTCTACAAATAAAAACTTTTGAGTTATTTTTTTAAACCTCTCCCCTTCCTTTTTTTCCTGAACACTTACAATATATTTTTACCTATGTCTATGATTTGTCTAACCCACCACCAGAGTATAAGCTTCAAAAAATCTGTAAATCTCTCCAATTCTGTTTCTTTTATTTTTCTGCCTTTTTTCCTTTATTTTCTTCCTCCCTGTTTTTTTTTTTTCTTTTTGGTAGTGGTGGTACTGAGTATTGAATTCAAATTGTCACACAGGGTAAGCAATGAGCTATGTTCCCAAACATTTCTTTATACAGCATCTGCTAAGTTGCCCAGACTGGCCTCAGACTATTGTCGTCCTGCTACAGGTAACCTGGTCTTTAGCATTAGAGATGTGTATCACCCTGCTGGCAAAAGTAACATCTAATCTGCTTAGATTAAATTCAAGCATCCAGCATGTGAAACAATGCATGTAACACAGTAGGTGCTCAATAAAGAACTGCATGTTGCTAGGCTTAGCTTTAGGGTGTGTTCTTAGGGTGAGATGGCAACCGCCCACCTATAATCTGACTCAGGGGAGCTAAGGCAGAGAATGGCAAATTCAAGCCCAGTCTGGGAAAATAAGGGAAACCTGCCTCAAATTTAAAAAATGCATACAGAAGTATAAACATAAGCAAGAAAGGGAATGTAGCTAAGTGGTGGAGCACCTCTGGGTTCGGTCTGTACTATAAATAAATAAATAAAATGAGAAAGAGAGAGAAACAAAAAGGAAAGGGGTACAGCTCAGTGGAAGAAACTTTATGTAGCATGTGAGTATGAAGCCCTAAATTCAATCACCAGTATTGCAAAAATAGATTAATTCAAGATAGAACAACTTACATAGCAACTGAAAAGGCTCACATCTTCTCCCCCATACATACTGCAATATGAATTTTAAATGGCATTTATTTCCCATATAGAAAAGAATTTCTGTGTCTTGATGAGAGGGCAAGGAATTAAAACAAAATAATAAGCCATTTTCAATTGAGCTTAATTTTAGATTTTTTATTTGATGGTGCATGGTTTTAATCCCAGTGACTCTTGTGGCTGAGACAGGAGGATTTCAAGTTCTAGGTCAGCCTCAGCAACTTAGTGAGATTGTCTTAAAATAAAAATTTAAAAAGGTCTGTAGATGCATGTAGCTCAGTGGTAGAGCTCTTGACTAACAGGTGTAAGGCCCTGGGTGTGCCCAGCTCTGAAGAAAGAAAAAGAAAAAGAAAGAAAATTCTTATTCATGAGTTTTTTTTTTTTTCAGGAAACTTTAGCAGAGTGCTTTATAAACTTAGAAGCATTATTGGAAGTAAGAATGAGTCATTTGTTATACAAAATAAAATATTACTATCATTTTTTTTGTAGTAAATAGTCACATAAATCTCTGGTAGAACAATGTATTTGAGGTCAGACCATTACATGCAATTTCTAAACAATTCAAAGTTAAGTTCTTATTTTCTTTTTGCTGTGCCAAAATGGATAGGTACAGTATATGGCATTGTCTTTCTATTATTGCTATAATATATTTAGAGGAAAGTAGTTGAATTAATAAATCAATATTTTAGGTAGAGCTTCTGAGAGACTTCTTTCAAGGAGAAAGAAACTGTGGATATATCATTCAGTTATTATCACAAACTGTCTTATTTTCCACTTCTGTTTGTATTTTCATCTATATGAGTATCCCAAATATTTTCCTGATAGCTGTATCTATACAATGATCTTACATTGTCATTAGTCATGTCCTAAAGTCATTCCCCCCCCTTTTTTTTTTAATTGGCTAAAACCTATTCCCACATTCTGCCTTCCCACTGTCTTCAAACAGACTGGCAGAAAAATACTTCTCCATCTACCTATTTCAGAGGTTTTACTATTCAAATTTTTTGGCTAAAAATATTGGAGCTTTATTTTCCTTTGCTGTATTATTAAATAGAGCCAATTTGTTGCTAAGCTTTTAAAAAATATTTATATTTTTAGTTGTAGTTGGACACAATACCTTTATTTTATTTATTTTTATGTGGTGCTGAGGATCAAACCCAGGGCCTCGCATATGCTAGGCGAGAGCTCTACTGCTAAGCCACAACCTCAGCCCTGTTGCTAAGCTTTATTTGATGTTGTTATTTGAAATGTTATTCTTACTATCAATTCCATTCCCAACCTTCAATTTAATCACTTACTTGCTAAATTATTTGAAAAGATTCTTTGTCTTACTTTACTCTATTTGGCTCTACATGTATTTTTAAAAAATATTTTTGTTTAAAAGAAGTAACTTCAGTTTGAGGGGAAGGTTATTTTGATTTGATTACTACTAAATGTGATATATGGAAACATTATATCACATAAATATGTACAATTACTTTTTTGAAAATTAAAAAAAAAAATTGAAATGCCATTTTACTCCTTATATAGGCCTCATAAAGGTTCTCACATTAATTTTAGATTTTTTATTGCTATCAATGTCTTTTGTAATATAAATATATCATAATCATTAATTCACTTACACATTTTTAATGTTCAATCTTTAAAAACATTTTGTTCAATTTATTTTTAATTGAGATATAAACACAAGTTGTATATATTAGTGTATCTAAGCATTTTTTAAAAAATATTTTTTAGTTGTTGATGTAACTTTATTTTTTATTTATTTATATGTGGTGCTGAGAATCCAACCCAGTGCTCACACATCCAGGCAAGAGCTCTACCACTGAGCCACAATCCCAGCCCCAGTATCCAAGCATTTAATTTAAGTTTTACTAGGTATCTTAGTAGGAAAAATAAATATTAAGCTGCATACTACAAAGTCTGTACATGTAAAAATGTATACCTTAATGACAAACATAGGCAGACAAACATATAATCACAGTGTTTTATAATATCATGAAATCAAAGGAAAGGAGAAACCACCAAATCTAATTTTTCACTGTTCCTAACTCTCAGTCTTTCACTTCAACAAGTTTCTTATGAAAATTAATCATACCTTTTAGCCTTTATTGGAAAAATACATTTGATACTTCATTTATTTTTTCTTGCCCAAATACCTTATGCCTCAACCTCCAGAGTTGCCGGGATTATAGGTGTGCACCCCCACACCTGGCCTGTTTTTTTAAATACTTTAACTTTAGTTAGTTATTTTTAATGTGGTGTTGATTTGATCACTACTAAAGATGTTGAGGATCGAACACAATTCCTCATACATGCTAAGCAACCGCTCTACTACTAATTCACAACCCTAGCCCATGGCCTGTTGTTTTTAAACTATCTGGCCAGATTAGAATGGCTAGATAGATTTATTATTACTATTATTTTTTGTGGTGCTGGGGATTGAACCCAGAGCTTCATGCATGTGAGGCAAGCACTCTCTCACTGAGCCACATCCCAGCCCCTAGATTTAGAATTTTAAAGGAAATTTTTTGGAGGATTTTAGAAAACTCTGACTTTACTTCTTAACACAATTTTGTACCTTGGATTTACCATATAATGCATTTGTAAGCATAGAGACAACTGATTAATTTGTTGTGAAAAGATCTTGTTATTTGCAAGCATTTGTTATTTTCTTCAGAGATGTAATTGTTGAAAAAGCAGATTCTGCAGGTCAATCTGTTATGTTCCTTCTATGGAAGGCAATCTGAAGAGATGTATGTCTTCCAGAGGTGTGGGAAAAGGGCCTGCTGCCTACACACCCATGGTAATAAAGCTTCATCAACAACATCTCTCTAGTGGGGCACACCTGTAATCCCAGCGACTTGGGAGTCTGAGGCAGGAGGATTGGGAGTTCAAAGCGAGCCTCAGCAAAAGTGAAGCACTAAGCAACTCAGTGAGACCCTCTCTCTAAATAAAATACAAAATAGTGCTGGGGATGTGACTCAGTGGGTGAGTGCCCCTGAGTTCAATATGCAGTACTCCCCCAACCCCACCACCAAAAAAAAAAAAAAAAACCTAACTTGAGCCCAAATCAGGGAAGTATTCATTTTTTTCCAGAGTCTAAGATTTCACACTTTCTCTCTTTGTTCAGTTTTACCAACTGCAAACTATAGAACAACATACATGTCAAAATAATTTTCCCTTAGCTGTAGTGATGAAACTCTTAATTTCTACTCAACAAACCTCAAATAAAAACAGTTATAAAATATTTATGCAAATTTAATAATTCCTAAAAATTCTCTCAATTAACCATTACAGTATGTCAATTAGAAGAAAAGGAAAAATGGAAGAAGCTGGGTCCAGTGGTGCATGCTTGTAATCCCAGGAACTCAGCAATTTAAGACATGGGATTGTGAATTTGAATCATCCTAGTCAGCAACGTAGTGAGAGACTCCATCTCAAAAAAAAAAAAAGGATTCGGATGAGTTCAATTTCAGCATAGCTACTTTTTAGAGAACATTTACTATGTATCAAATATTATAATAGATATTTTAATACATGATTAATTTAATTATTATAAAGGCTCATGAATTAGGTATTACCCCATTTTATAAATAAAGGAGCAGAACCCTAGAGATGTTAAGAAATTTTCTTGAGGAAACTGATCAGGATTAAACACCACCTTGACTACTAGACCCTCAGTTCTTAAAAATAATGCAACATGTGCTTCCTTTAATAAGACCTTTACTCAGATTTAGATGGGAAATCTGTGATCACCATAATAATACAAGTTCATGAATAATGGATTACCTGTGGTCCAGCAAAAATACTACTGAGAATCCAGGCCAGGCTGGTCATGGACTGTTCAAGCTTGCGGTTATTTTGCACAGCTAGTGGTCTGGTGATAGCCAGGGAACGGTCCAGGCTTATCACCACCATCATGAAAGCTGGGGCATACATGGAGAAAAGCTTCAGGTAGCTGAGGACTTTGCAGAGGAACTCTCCTGCATACCATTGGACTGTAATATTCCACATACCATCCAGCGGCATGACAATCAGAGTCTCCAACAAGTTGGCTAATGTCAAATGTTTTAAAAGCACCTTCATTCTGGAGAGTTTTTTCCCTTTTTCTTTCTTCTGAGTCCACTTCTGAAGTTTCAATAAGAAAGAAGCATTAAAGGTGGTGGAGAGTAGAAAAAGGCAGAAAGTCACTGTCACTCGAATCTTTCCAGATAAGGTCAGGGTGGGGAGGTTTTCCTGCATCAGTGAGATGCTGTTGTTGATGGCTGAACAGTGATTCTGATTCTGTTCAGGAGAGGCATTGTTTGCCATACTTCCCCAATGATAAAGCTTCCAGACTTGTATTTCTGGTACTTCTGATATTTTATTATAGTTGAACCTAAAGTCCCCTTTTAATTCTGCCTTTTATTTTTTTAGATGGGAACATCACAGGTTTAGATTTATGTCAAATTTTGTCCCTGAGATACTTTAGACTTAGTGTAAAAGATCAAGGTGAACTTGTTTTGTGGGTTTGTAATCCAACATAATACAAAAACAGAGGATTTAAAACACATTGTGAGGGCCAAATGTAACTGTACCACCTCAGCAGATGGCCTGGTTTTCACAACATTGTTTTCCTAAGTGAAGAAGGATACTTGCAGCCTAATTTTGAATTTTAAAAGTTCCTCATAATATTACTAGAATATCTTTAATGAAGAGATTTTTTAAATGCTATTAACTTATTTTTTGGTTCTGTTCAACATACAGGTGCAAAATGAAAATGAAGGAAAATACTGAAAAAAAAAAACTTGATCCAGTTACATTTGTTGTCTTAAGATTTGAATACATTTCTCAAGGATGTTTCTTTGTTTTGTTTTTCAAATATGCATTCTTGACTTTCAAGCACTAGGCATATATGTTAATTTAAACTATCCTATGCAAAACAAGAAATTACTACTTTTATAGAATCAATCTGAACAAATACAAATGAGGCTGTATTCAAATTTATCAATCAGTCTTTACGGTCAGATTATCCAAGCTTAAGTTAGTGTAAAAAGATTAACCATTTAAAAATTATTGCCTTGATTTTATAATTGTCTAAAGATTTTACTTAAATTATTATTATGGCACAAAGTTCCATAAAACAACTAGATATTGGCAAGAAGATTTGCATAAATACTATACTATATTTATATATATACATTTATGTTCCTTCTTATATAAATACATATACTTATATATGTATATATTTATGTTCCTTTACATCTTATCTGATCATTCCACATTGAGATTATTTAAAATCTTTCTCTGTGTTACTATTTTAACTTTCATGACGAATGCTTGATGATGTCACTTAGGAACATTGGACTGGTTTGATTTGAATACTTTATCAACTAGTTTGTTTCTGTGGCAGCCAAAGCAGGGATAAAGGTGACTTTTTTTTTTTTTTTTTTTTTTACTTAGATGGTCCATTTTACTTGGTTTATTTATTCATTTATTTTGTCTTATATTCACTTATTTAACAAAGAATTACTAAATATCTACTATATATACTTTCTTAGCTTTTGTTGATTATAAAAAGTGAACACATCATTCAGGCCCTTCAGGAGTTTGTTTGGTACTAGAATGGGTTAGATGGGTATATCGGCCATGTCTGATGTGTCTCTTCAGCTTCCCTTTGCAATGACTGCTTCTTGGATCTTCAACAGCTTAGACCATTGCTTTGATTGTTACTATATGCCCAGAATTACTGGCATTTTTCACTACTTTCAGACTTGGATGGAATTTGACTTCCCAAGTGACTTTCTGAAGGGTCTAGATATATTTTCTAATAAGAGTACTTTGGTTTTGAAATATATTATTTTGGAATAACTAGTGGGAGGAATGAATAAGTCAAAAACTATGAGAAATATACCTTTAAGAAAAATGTAACACATCTATTTTATCTATTTTTAAGCACAAATATACACAAGTATCAGTTGATTATCATTATTTTTCAGTTATATCAAGTCACCACAACACCGAATTAGTGATATCTTGAATCATTGCTCCTATAGAAAATAAAGGGTTAGATTCCTGTGACCCAGAACACCATTTGCATTATATATGATCATTTGCCAAAGTCTTATAAGCCAGTTTCATCAACATTGATAAATCTATTTCTCTCTTTCCCTGTATAACAATTAATAGGTATTTAAAAAATCCTCCCACAGTTGTAGAACCTGCCTCACTTATCAGTTTAATATTTTCTATACCATACTCAGTAAATTAAAGTATATTAGAAACATAAACTGTTCATAATATTAAAAAATAGTATTTTATCCCAGAGATTCATACTAGCTTAAACGATATTACTTTGTGAACCCTCAGGTATTGAGATTTTAGGGGAGAAAGTGAAATAATATTTATATCAGATATCAAAGAGAGACTTTTTTCATTATATCATTATGTTTATTAACCACAAGAATAATAACAATGACATATACACTGGTGAAGATCCTGAAGCTAATTTGTAGAAAACAATGATTATGAAACTCAGGTCCTATCTTTGGAAGTTGCCCCATAAACACTATCATTTCTTTTTTTTCTTTTTTTTTTTTTAGCCATATTCATTTATTATAAAGGGTCATTGGTATAAGGGAAATCAAGAATTCACATTCTTAGGCAGAAAATGAGAACTGAATAGCAATTTCTTCACTGCAAAGTGAATTGTTATTTAGCATATCCTCATGCTAATATGTGGCTGAACCCTAGCCATAGGATTTAAAGGATGTAAGTGTAGCTCAAGTACTTTCATAAAAATCACATCCTTCCTACCATATTATCTTTGAAAACAAACACTCGAAATTATAGTACATGTCACAAAACCTTTTTGAACATTCTATTCCATTTATGGAATGGCTTTAAATATTATGCATGATAAATAAAGTACAGAAGAAAAAAAAGTTAAATCTCACTTCAAGCAATGAGCAGTCTAACCACACCAGTAAAAATGGTACTCTTTTAGTCATGGCATGACATACACATAAAATTTGAGGCTATTTTACAATTATTCTTTGAATACTTTCAATCTGAATATAATATGAAGTACACAATGATTTACTCAGCAAGTTCTTTGGACACTGTTTAAATAAGTGATAAAGCAGCACAACACTGGGACTCAGTCTTAAATGATAGTACAAAAAAAAATCCTGTAAAACTCATTTGTCTAGAATTTGTAAAATTTTTGTTTCCCAGCATAATTAAATTGTGATTATTTTCTCAAAGTCTTCCAGTTTGTCAACATACTTGCTTTCTTGGCTACATATTGGCCAGAAATTAACAAGAAAAGTCTTATTTCCTTTTACCTGGCAAAGATGTAGAACTGGATTAACCAAACCCTTTTTATCAGCTGGACTGCCCTCTAATGGACTATGTAAGGTATTCAGCTAAGAGGTCAATGCGACTTGGTTTGACAAGGTAATTCAACAGAAAAAATATAAACCTCTTATACCCCTAACTGACGTTTCCTTGAATGAGTTAAAAAGAAATAGAAAAACCTATTAGTAAATTAATTTTTACCATGAAAGAAATCAGCAGAGTGCCAGTTCTATAAGTAAACAATTTCAATCATTTTGAAAACTAGTAATGAAAGTTCATGTAGTTTCAATCTTTTCAATCTTGGAGGCAGAGCTGAAACAATGGTAGTAATAGGCAGGAGTAACAGGCATACTGTGATGTCAATCTTTTATGAAGACTTGTGTATTAACACAAATCATATTTTTGTTAGTCTATTCACTCTACAGAGGTTTTCTTATGTGTAAATATGAGTTACAGTAGACACATGCTGAGAAGTTGATATCTGTTAAGTCTCATCACAGCATAAGAACTTTATGGAGCCGTTTCCTCTGTGAAAACATCATCTTGAGTAGCAAGCTGTTTTTCTCTGTGGCTCATCCCCAGGCCTGAGATTTGCAGTAATGTAGGACCAGTTTACCATCACCACCAAAACAGTCATAGAGGGTTCTGACTTCCTGGTCTGGGGAAGGAGCAAAGGACTGATTCACATAAATAAACAACTGTTCCGAGGCCACAAGTTTAAGGAACTTCTTGATGAAGTCAATGATGGTTGGATGGTTCGGGTTCACTCTACAGCCCACTTCTTTGTTTTCATTATAGGGGTGTCTCCCACAGCCTTCAGTAGGATGTCATTTTTTTTCTTGGTGTCGCCTGAAGGCTCCTCTGTCCCCGGCGAGACTGCAGCAGAAGAAGGGGGCTCTGGAGTGGCTGTTTCTGGGGAGACATCCGTAAGTCCTTCACCGCCAGCAGCAGCAGTTGAAGGAAGTTGCAACACCAACTCAGGCTCCTCTGCCATATTGCACAGTGGAAAGCGAGAGCGGAAGTGGCCAACACTAGCATTTCTTTGGGTAGCTTTCATTGGTGGGAGGTCCTGGCTATAACCTGAATTCCAGAGGAGCTTCAGGAGGGCAACACAATTGAGAAAGTAAGCTTAGGAGTTAAGGTACCTGGAAGGAGGATAATACACTAATTCTGTTAACCTTCGGTTTTACACTATAATTATATATAAAAGTGGGATTCATTGTGGTATATTTGTAAATGGGCATAGCATAATTTGGTGGTCTTTTTACCCCAGTACTTCTGCATGTTCTCCCTCCTCACTCCTGCTCAATCCCTTTTCCTCTATTCTATTGGTTTCCCTTCTATTTTCATGAGATCACTTTTTTATTCCTTTTGTTTAGAGAGATTTTTTATACCAAAGATTTGTGACCATAAAACTTGTACCTATTACATTAGCTATGATGGGTTCCTTATAACAAAACAGTCCTGATTTATTTTTATTAAGAACTCATGGGCTTTGCATATATATTATATCAGTTAATCTCATCAGGGCCATATGCTTGAAGCAAAACAAAACAAGGTAAACACTGGGTAGATTTACAAGCTTGAAAAACTATCATGTGCAGGTGAGCAACCAAAAGAACAAAGGAAGAATGTTCATGGTAAAATCCAATTTTACTAAAGTATGTTTTGCCTTTTGTCATCTCCATTTAGGCAAAGAAAAAATGAGCTTCATTATTATCTCCTTTGCTTTCCTTTGGTTTTCCTTTTTATCCTTTATTTTTCTCTCTCCTTTTCCTCAAAACACAACTTATCAAGAATGACTGTGTCTATAACCACTGCCAAATGGGTAAAACAGAAATTTTTTTCCACATTTTATTGGTACATAATAGTTGTACATAATGGTGAAATTTGTCATTACATATTAATGAATGCATACAATTTAACAATATAATTTGTCCAATATCCTTCCCTAGCACTCCTCCCTCTCTCTT